TCATATTTGAAAAAAATTTATTATTTTTATTAAGTCAAAAATCAGGTCTGATCAGATTGGATCATATTTGAAAAAAAGTTTATCATTTTTATTAAGTCAAAAATCAGATCTGATCAGATTGAATCATATTTGAAAAAAAGTTTATCATTTCAGCTGAGTGAAAAATTAGATCTTAACCAATCTGATCATATTTAAAAAAAAAGTTTATTATTTTTGTTATTTTCAAATCAGTTCTGATTATATCTCACCTGCTCTAAATAAATTTAAGTAGGTGCAAAAATTTCGATAAAAAATACATACTCTTGAAATCATAACTACTTTTTTTATTGAATATAAGTTGCTTTATTTTTATAGAAATAAAATGTTATTATAAAATATCTTACACCATATTTACATTTAATTTTCACATTACTTTGTTTAAATTGTTTGGACGCTCACAAATGAAATCTAATACTCTTATTACATGAACTATACATTCAACATTCTCTGCATCAATTTTTATAAAATTATTCGTTTCTATAATTGGTAATATATGTTGAACATTGTATTACTCTCACGATGACAAAATCTTTTCGTATAATCTACATCAAAAGTTCTTACTATATAGCCTAATTTTCTTCGATTTTGGTAAAAACTACAATTTCCCCATAAACCATCTTATCATTCAGATTTATTTTAACGGTATAGCTATTTGTTTGCGTTTTTTTATAAGTTGTTGACGAATATGCACGATTATTTATTATTGCTCTCGCAAAAAAATGCGTGTTATCAATATTAAAATTTAGAGTCTTCACAATCTCAATTAATCTGTAATCATTACATTCCGTTATATTTATATTGTCTTTCAATTCAGGTTTCTGAGATTGATGGAAAAAAAGTCTACAGTATTATTCTTACTTGCGCATGTTATTTTAATGATTGTACACCTTGTGCTATTTTCAAATTATTTGCCATTTCTTGACCGAGATTTTTTAGTGCCGTGTACACATTTGCAAGCATACCGTTAACATTCTCGAATGGAAACGCTGACGTGCTCCATAATGGACCCCAACGCTCAATACATAGTGTTAAATGTAGCAATTGATGCACATTATATGTGTATTGTCGATCACCATATAATTCTTTAATGTCTCTGACAAATAGTTGTAATAAAATTTCAGCTCGCTTCAATTCTGAGTCAATATAAATAGGTTTTTCTAATAACGAAAATATAGCCACCACAAACAATAACCAATGTTGAAAATAAAGATCAGGCAGATATTGAAAAAAAATCGGAATAGAGTAAAACAATACTACATTATAGAATTCTGATGCTTTATAAAATGGGAGATATTTCAGACTACGTGGCATTCTATTGAAAAAATATGGTGGATGAATGTCTTTCAATTTGTCATCTATTTCTGAGACAAACTGTTTTATGTTCCAAACGCCTTTTTGTGAAACCATAAATTAATAAATTGTTTTCCAACGCCAAGGAGAACCGAATGCATGTATTCAGGTAGCACACATGTTTCTAATTTAAGAAGAGGAATAGCAGAAACAATTGATATTCCTTTAACGCCTCTTTTATGTGGGAGATTATCTTTGAAAGCTATTCAGCTTGTTTCGTCATTCGATCATCACTCCTTAATCTACTGACTTTCTCGCTAAAATATATGCTCGGATTCTTTTTTTCCCTTCAGGTACTTGACAACGTTTCATTTTTATTTCACATATATTGCACCCATATTTTCCAGTGAAATACTGAATGTTTTGAATCTCAGCCCTAGCTGGTGCATCGGCTATGAATAAAGGAGCAGTAATTCTTGTCGTACAAGTCTCTTTTGTCGCAGGATCAACCCAAGTAATGCCGTCATAAAAACACGTAATAAGCTTCTCACAAAATGGTTGGAGGAATGTATTCATTAAAGGTTTTTTAGTGGAGTCATACCATATCCCTATGATGCAAATAAAACTTTCTCGAAGATGTTCTGGAAGTTCTGCTATCATGAACATCAATGGCCAACAGTTACTTTTAGAACTTTTCACAATAGAAATTCCATCAGTATTGAGAATCAATGTTAAATCAAATTTACCCCTTTTCTGATGTGAATTGACTCTTTTATATTCTGATCCATCAGTGATATCAGTTATAACATTGGGTTCATGGTTAGAAACATGAAGTTTATTTGCTAGATTCCTTTCTTCAAACAAATACTTTATTTGTTCAACTAAGTCTATCTCAAAAAAAAAAGATGTTCCTTCAGTACTTGAACAAGATGGACACTTTGTTAAAACAGGGTTCGTATTATTATAGAATAAACACTTCTTACAATAATAATATTTAATGATACGAGCAGAATGGGCTTCATTCTCAATAAATTTAAATAAATTATGCAATGTCTTTGGCATATTGTTAGGTTTTGGAAGAATTTCTTGTATATATATCAATAAAGCTTGAAGACTAGTTTTCGTTAGTTTATTTTGAATATATAAGTTCATGAGGAGTAATATGCTTCGAGTCAGCTAATGTCACTACCATCATACAGTGCATTGACCATGCTAGCTATCGAGCTGTTACTGTCAACTTCATAACTATTTGTACTATTGTGCTCATCATCGCTATCTTCGATTATTTGTTCATCATCAGATTCAGCCACCAAATCTCTTTCGTCAAGATTGTCATTATCTTCTTCACTATCCTCTTCATGATCTTTTTCGCCATCTTCTTCATTGTCTGTACTAGATTCACTAATAGTCGAGTTACTAACATCGAAAGAATCATTTTCTCCCTGAATGGAGGAGTTAACGTCACTATCAGGTTCTGATGTTTCAGAACTGCTATCTTCATCTAAGTTACAGCGTCTTTGTATACTTTTCCATCGATATACGTGCTTCGAGGAACCTAAATAAACCAAAAAATTCTTATCATTTCATCTTTTAAATGACAAAGTTTAAAATTGTAAAAACAACTTTTAAAGAATTGTTTCAAAAAACTATAAATGCTATTGTATTTGAATTTATTTATACTGTTTTTTTTTTAATAAAAAATACTACATTCTGACGACTTGCATGAGATTATAATTTAAAAATAATATTTCATATGCATATATATGTATCCCTGAATATTTATTTATCTTATAATTTCTGAGATAAGAATTTGTACATAATAGCATTCACACGTATACTCGAGCTTGCTGCACGTCGGTTCATGATCCGTAACCAGCATCATACATAATAAATTCATATCTAAGAAATTATAATAATATATTTGTACTTCATCAAATACATAGATTTATTTAAAAATATATATTTCATATATTTATTAAAATGGACCTGTAAAGGACATCTACGCGTAACAGATAGATATTCTTACCTGTGAGTTCGGATTGTCTTGCCATATTTTACGTCGTTCCTTTTCGGCAGATGGAACCGGAATTTCTTCAACAATTTCTCTATTATCAGATGACATTATCTTCTAAACGGCAATTGATAAAACACTAAAAATAAAAAGTAATTTCTTAGTTTACAGAAGATTGTCCATTGCTTTTAACCCTTCAGATCTTACGCTCATCAAACCGCAAAAAATACTGTCGTGATAAGCGAATTACTCACGGGTTGTACGCATGCCGTTTTGTTTAATTGACATTAATTAAAAAAAGAAACTTTCAAAATTATACGGCGGCCGGCGCCGCTTGCGACACTCGGGAATACTCGTTAGAGCCGAACTTAGCCGAATGACTAATTTCTTCAATTTACTTTTCTTACGTGATGACAGAGAAGAGAGACGTGAATGGAAGTTTAGTTTAAATAGGCCTATGTGTCCCGGAAATTTAGTATGTATTCTTATAGAGCCAGGTAGGAGTTTGCACGGTTGGGATGACCTTGGATGATCCCTAAACAAAACCCAGCATTGAACTTCTATGCAAGTCTGTTTTCTCTGATGATGAGCAATGCTCACAGCTTTGACAAAATAATTGTTTAATAAAATTTTTGAATTGTAATAGTAACGATAATCAAATTTCTTAAAGCTAAAACAAATTTCATATAATCATTCTATTTAAAAATTAAAAGTAAACTAATAAGAAATAAAGAGTGAGCAAAATGCTCATAGCGTAAGGTCTGAAGGGTAAATATAAAATTTATTATAATCTAATAGTATTCTAATAACAAAAAAATTATTTGATAGCTTTTGTTGAAAAAAAATTATTACGCTGAATGGTTAAAAATAATTATAAGAATGTAATACATGAATAAAATCGTCTATGGGCAGTACTTAAGCCTAAGAATTACTTAGCGTAATAACTTATTCAATCATCATTTTTATATAATAAAAAAAATCGTATTGTAACTATTTTACTTACCAAAGAACAAAAAATATTTTATTAACGAACACTTATTACACATATATAAAAATCAGAACAGATTGTTGATGAACAAAGTTTACGGATATACAATAATGAATGCTACTTTTGCCCAGAAAGCTCATAGACATACTAACTTATTATATTATATGTATAGCCAACAAGCTAACTGGACAACTCCACCCTCCACTCGCTTTGGATCATGGTAGATGGAAGCCTATCAAACTTTGTTCGATGCTGGGATGATAATATAATTAATAAAGAAAAATTATTTTGTAGTAATTGGAAAAAATATTTAGATACAATAAGAGAATCTTTTTTTTTGCACGAACTTAATATTATTATTAATAATTATTTTTATGTCAATTCAGCATCAGAATCTAGCTTTATTATATGATTTAAAATTTGCCGCATGCATGAAAATGCGTCAAGAGTTGACGCGCATGCTTACTGTTTCATGAGAAGGCGGCCGTTACCACGTGGTAGTGAAATACTAACGGTTACAATAACTACATGGCGTCATTTCTACAATGATACGCACAAATGTATAGAATTCCGCAATTTATTAGAAGTAATGTAATTCTAAGATCGTCAAATTCTATTTTCTTTAAATTTAATTTATTTAAATATGTATCTATTAAGTGTAAGGTAAATAATATAACCATAAAGTGCAAGATAGTGATATTGTCAAAGATGAGACTGATAATATTAATATTGGTGATATTGTGCCATACATGCAGAAGGGAAAACAATTAGACGGTGAAGTGTTGATGATTGCAGGTAATATGAAGAAATTTATCATGCTTACAATTTATAAATATTACGTATAATGATTCTTTCATATAAGTCTTCAAGAATGTAATTATTTTTTTTATTTTATTGTGTGAAAAGATGAAAGTAAGATTGATGAATATCTAAAGGAGTTGAATATGAAAATAAGGAAGTAAAAAGGAAACGGGTTAGACCATTACCCTATTCTCCGGAGACATTCCATCTTAAGCCAAAGAAACCCAAAGCTAATGTAAGTACATAGAGTTTATTACATTTTTACTTTTTATTATTATATACATAATGATGTTAAGCGAGTGGGACCGTTTTTTTAGGTTTTAAACAAAAACAAAGTATCGAAGAAACCAGAAAAGGAAACACGTCCTTTCTCGAAATCAAGTACAAAGTTTAATAAAAAAGAAGGAATCACTGATGACATTAGAAGAAAACAAACACAGTTCTAACATCACTACTTTGTCAAATATAACAGATAGAAACTTATCGTTGGCGTCAGTAAGTGAAGATAGTGATGCATCACCATTTGTGAAGCAGGTAAATACTCAGTACATTATCAATTACTCTAGTGTATGTAATTATTCATATCCTAGTACTCTGTTGCAAATGAAATAAATTTCAATCATGGGTTTTTTTCAGAAACATCTTCATACTAGGAATGAAAGTTTATTAGAATTGAAGAAACTTAACCAGAATATGACAAATCCTAAAAATAATAAGCCTGCAAATAATAACAAAAATAAAGCTGAAAAAAAAGTATTGGAAAAGTAAACATCAATGACGAAAAACAGAATAAAAGCGAATATTCTAACATGCAGAAAGAGAAAAGTAATCTTAATAAAAATGTGACAAATAAAGGAGATGATGTATATGAGTTAGATTCCGAAGATAATGGTGATGTAGATAAGAATGATGATGACAAAGTAAATGATGATGCAGGAAAAAATGACGAAGGTGATCACGATAGCGATAATGCAGATGAGAATGAAAAGATGCTCACGAATGTGATGATGCAGATAACAATGAAAAAGATGGCCATAAGAGTGATGATGTGGATAAAAATGAGAAGAAGAAGATCACGAAAGTAATGATGCAGATAACAATGAAGAAAATAGCAATGGGAATAATGATGAAGATGACAATCAGGAAGACGTCGATGACAGTGACGAAGAAATTGGGATCATCTTAACTATCAGATACATAAAAAAGACGACCCTGGAGTGAGTATTCTTAGTTTGTACCTTTGGTACATTTTTGTATTATTTCTATACAATTTAAATTTTCTTTTCTTGATGATTCTCACAAATTATATTTTTTTAGATGCGCGAACTAAAAGATGGAATTTACATCAATAGGAAAATTATGATAATGCCAAAAAAACAAAGTCCACAAAGCCGACCCATCTTATTCGCCGTTTAATGGACGGTGTATTTATTCAAAGTGAAGTTCTCAACTGTACTTTACAGGTAATCCTGGAAGAAATAAAAGGCAAAACGAGGATGAGTGTGAAATGCTTCACCCTCTAGCCGTAGCAGCAATTATAGTAAGTTTTTTACCTTATATTATTTTGAATAATTATTAATGTTATTCTCTGCTATCCAGATTCATAAAATACACATAAATATTACAGGTAAAGCAACTTCATTGTACAAGAAAGCTCGGCCAAATAAAACTGTTTATATCAACCAAAGTATTCATGAGACAATAAGCCAAAAGTTGTACGAAATGAAAGTAAAAGGAAGGCGCGAGAAAGATGGAATAGAAACCAGTGACAGCTTCGTTGATAACTTAAAAATTATGATTATGATATTATTATTGTTTTTTAAAATTTAATCTGTATGAGAAAGAAAATTAAAATCCACTTCAATAAATAACTTTAATCACAAATACAAAACAACATATTCCTTACGTCATTAATTTTATATTCATTTCTTACCTTCAAAATGCATGTTCAGATTGGAGCAGATCTGGGACATATATATACATATATGATAATCTCATAATCCTGATCTGATCAGATCTGAATTCTGAATCCATTTTTCTGATGACTTCAGACTATTTCCGATCTGCTCAGACATGAACTGATCTGTTTTATATCTGAATTATATTCTTTTCAAATATAAACAGATCAGTTCATGTCTGAGCAGATCGGAA